GGGCTCTGGGCTGATGGCTCGGAGCCTGGAGCCTGTTTCCGATTCTGTGTCTCCCTCTCTCTCTGCCCCTCCCCCGTTCATGCTCTGTCTCTCTCTGTCCCAAAAATAAATAAACGTTGAAAAAAAAAATTTAAAAAAAAAATAATAAATAAAATAGCAGTTCCTGTTGTCTGTGGCTGGACAGTTAAGTAGAAAATGGGATTCCTTGTCTATGCCCACAATCAGGTATCGAGGTTCCTCGGTGTTGTTCCTAAGTGGAGTCCACAGGATTCTAATAAGTAGCTTAATTTTTTTAACTTTACGGAAATTTGAAAGATTTACCATGCTACCAGGACGTAAATATATTCTCTTAAATGCTGTGAAGTATAGATGGAAATATTTTTTATCCGTCGTCTTTGATGAGGATACTAATAGAGTAAAATAAAGTTATTTAAGGGGCACCTGGCTGGCTCAGTCAGAGGGGCGTACGACTCCTGATCTTGGGGTCTTGAGTTCAAGTCTCACGTTGCATGTAGAAATTACTTAAATAAGTAAACTTTACATAGATAGACAGATGGATAGATAGCAAGCCCTGGACAGCAAACAGGAGTTTTTGATCATATAACGTATTATCTTGACATACTTTGTAATAATTCACCTTTTCTGGGGCGCCTGGCTGCCTCAGTTGGTGGAGTGCACAACTCTTGGTCTCACAGTTGTCTGTTCAAGCCCACATTGGGTATAGAGATTACTTTAAAATCTTTAAAAAGAATTAGGCACCTTTTCTTAATTAATTAAAAAATTATAGTTGTATAAATTTTGGACTTTGATCAGATGTGAAACACAGTTAATTCCTTCAGTACCTATTAATTATCTTCTATCTGATGGGCATTATGCCAGTAACTATGTTACATAACAGCAGACCAGGTCACTGCCTCCTCCACTGAGCTTATAGCTTAGTGGGACAGACAGACCTCAGTCAAATAGTTACATAAATGAATATAAGATTTTGGGCATGGGGCACCTGGGTGGCTCAGTCGGTTAAGGCGTCTGACTTCGGCTCAGACCATGATCTCATGGTTCATGAGTTGGAGCCCCCCATCGGGCCCTGTGCTGATGACTCAGAGCCTGGATTCTGTGTCTTCCTCTCTCTTTGCCCCTCCCCTGCTCGCTCTCTCTCTCTCCCTCTCTCAAAAATAAATAAGCATTAAAAAAAATAATAATAAAAAAAAAAAGATTTTGGCCATGTACCAGGAGAGGGTCATTGTGCACTGAGAGCATAGGATAGGATTTGCCCTGGCTAAAAGATCAGAGCAGGCCTCCTTCAGGAAGAGTCAAGCTATCCTCAGATCTTAAGATGATTCGGGTTCACCAAGCAAGGAGAAAGGAAGAGTGGTCCAAGCCCAGGAAGCATAATATGTTCTAAGAACCATAAGCTACCAGTGTGACCAGAACCCAGAGAACAAAGGGGAGGTGTGAGGCCTTCACAGTGGGTAGAACCATCCAGGCTTTGGTTGGGTTTTGAGTGGAAGTGGGAGGTCAGGGTGGAGGCATCATAATCAGGCTTGGCTTTTCCAAAGCTCATTCTGGAAGCCCTTGAAGAGCTAGAGGGGGAGGGGCCCCACTGGTTCGGGCAGTTCCTAGCAGCAGTCCAGGGTGAGGTGATGGCGGCTTGCACGAGGGCCCCATCGATGTGAATGACTCGGGGAAGGTCACAGCATGACACCTGGCTCCCCGTTAGGCGTGGGGGTGAGGGAGGACTGCCAGGTCTCCAGCCAAACCAGGTAGGCGGCGGTGTCCTTTGCAGAGAATCAGAGGGCTGGGTGGGGGATGAGTGCCTTCACTGACTGGACCGGCTTCCCTAATCAGTCCTCTCATTTCTGCTTTTTCAAACAGGGTAACTTCTTTCAAAATATTGGTTCCATCACCCTGTTTGCTGTCTTCGGTACGGCAATTTCCGCTTTTGTAGTAGGTGGAGGAATTTATTTTCTGGGTCAGGTAAGAAAAACATCTTTGAAAAATCCTGAAAATCTTACGTTCTTAGAGATAGTGCAGGGGGATGGGGTAGGGACAGACACCTCGTGGGGCCTGTGTTTCATGTTCAAGGTAAACACTGTCCTGGAAGGAAATCCAAACTCATATGAGGCACAGTAAAAGCATGCTGAAATTGTTTCTAAGTGTCCTCGAAGAGCTTTGGTGTCTGGAATTGAGTGGATCTTCTCCATCATACCCAAAAGTATTTGATCTTACCTGCAAACCAATAATTTAAGACCTAATACTAAAATTAAAGCAGAATATATACCATCAAGGTCTTTAGATTATAACAGTATCAGTTGTGTTCTCAGGTAAATGGAATCAAAGTTAAATGCTGTGTCTCAGTAAACATTTGCATTTTAAAAATCAAACTCGATTCTGAATATGTTCACTCAATTCTAAGCTGTCCACCTATAGAATTGTATACTCCGGATTTTCCACTATTGCTAAACCAATTCCCAGTGTCATCAATTGGATGTTCTGTACTTTGAGTTCAAATTAATTTGAATTAATTTAAACCAAACCTACCCAGAAAGGTAATATGTATACTTTTGTACTCTGCATGTGTATGCACGTCATAGTTCTTTTCTTTTATGGTTACTTGCACAAAGTTTGCCTGCCCCCATTCTGTGGACTGAGGGTCAGAGTCGGGCATCTGGGTGACCAGCAGGCCTCTCGTGTGTGTCAGATGTGTTTGCTTCTGTTGGTGGCTGTCGGCCAAAGCCCACTGCATCTGATTGTCCCCTGAACTGCTGCCACAGTGGCACCAGAATAGATCTGTCTGTCATGCAACCTTCATTGCTCAGCTTCTAGTAGCAAATGGGAATAAACTTCAGAAAACTATACTTAATTTGGCTTGAAAATGTAGCATTCTTTTCTGTACTTTTGTTGTATAATGATTGAATGCATGCTTAAACTAAAACTTAGGAGTTTTCTTTATGTTTCAAGTGGTTTGGGGACTGAAGATTAATGTCCTTATTAGTTTCTAATAAAGCACTAATGGACATTTTAATCTTCTTGGCTGTTCTCCAGGGGTTTTTTTTTTGTGTGTCTATGTGTTTGTGTGTTTTATTTTACAGGCTGATGTAATCTCTAAACTCAACATGACAGACAGGTAAATCTTTCATACTGTCACCCCCGTGTGACTACTTTTCAAACTGGGGATAGTTTTCTCCACCTTGATTCCTGGGTGCGGTATTTCTCTATTCTGTCTTTTTGTTTTGAGGATGATTTCTGCTGAATTAACTTGTGGCTCAGAAATTAATCACAACCATATTGTGGAATTTTGAATATCTCTAGTCAGAGCATTGCTGATTGGAATAATTGATTTATTTTAAGCCTTGGAGGGAATATCTCTGGTCAGTTAACTGCACCCTGTCCCACCACTCACTGCATCTTGCATTATCCAGAATCATCTTCACCTAATTTCTGAGTCTTTTCAGTGGCCACAGTGAAAAGTTGTCCTCTTGATAGATTCGGGATGGAGGGGGGAGTGAGGTGTGTATCTTTACTCTGGGGTTCCCACCAAGCCAGGCGTGGGGTAGGGTGCGGGGAGCAGGCAGGGCCAAGGTCTCCACTGTGCATATCTTCCTCAGTCTGAAGCTACTCCAGTGAGCACTCAGAGTTGCCAAGAGCCCAGCTCAGGAATTTCCTTCATCAATTTAGCAAGAAGCAACTGAGGCCTCTGTCTCCTGGATGGTACCAGATCCAGTGCTAAGAAAGTGCACAAGCAGAGTGAGGCCTGGTTTCGTCCCCTCGCTGGGAAGTCTGGCGAATGTACAGCCTTGGTCTGTGTTTCTGCACCATGAGTGCTTGCCTTTGTGGCCTGGCTCGGGGCTAGGAAGCAGGGCTCAGGTGTCCGCCCCAGCTCTCTCCTGTCAGGCCGGTCAGAGCCATCAGTCTTCAGCAACTTGGGGACTAGAATCTCGAAGCCATTTTCGCGGGAAGTGTGCCTCTGAGAACAGCCAGTGCAATCTCCTCTTCCCCCAGGGACATAAATTTTGGAGCTTTTGTTGTAAGATAGTCTTGTTATATAAACAAGTAGCAAAAATCACATTCTTATTCTATAAGGAGCTAGAAATAAAGCAGCACTGAGGCCCCGCATTTTGTAAGTATTTTGCAAGTGAAGAGAACTGCCCTGTACCTAGTCATACAAAGGAAGATGTCACAGCATTCAGTCCTTCAACCTGTTCTGGGGCAACTGGTTAGAGATACAGAAATGCTTGATAAATTCTTGTGAAACAGAATTAAACCGATGTTTGTTGGGAGGTTCAGGGAGAGAGGAGTAAAAGAATTGTCCCTTAGACAAGCAGAATAAGCCAGGTAGGGATTCTCTCTCGATGTGCAGGCACTTCCTTTCCTGTTAGAAAGTGACCTTCCCGCAGACTGGGAGTGCTCTGGGGAAAATTAGCCAGCAGTTGCAAACCTGCAGCCACAGGGCCTGGCCAAGCACTTACCAGAGGGAACTTCCAGGTGTCTGGGGGTGGCCGCGGTGGGGATTTGAAGTGTGCACCCTGTCTGAAAGGGACAGCCACTTCTCAGCTCTACCTGGTCATCGCCATGTGGGAATGCAGGCACAGAATTACTGGAGATTAACATTTTTTTTTTTTTTTCAAAAAGAGGCCAGGTTTCCAGATTTTAATTAGGGAATTTCCTACTTTTTTTTTTTAATTTTTTAATACTTATTTATTTCTGAGACAGAGAGAGACAGAGCACAAGTAGGGGAGGGGCAGAGAGAGAGAGGGAGACACAGAATCCGAAGCAGGCTCCAGGCTCCGAGCTGTCAGCACGAGGGCCAGCGAGGGGCTCGAACTTCTGAAGACCGTGAGATCATTACCTGAGCTGAAGTCAGACGCTTAACCGACTGAGCCACCCGGGCACCCCAGGAATTTCCTAGCTTTTAAATGTTAACAACTTACTTTTTTTTTAAGTTTATTTATTTATTTTGAGAGAGAGAGAGAACACACGTGTGCATGAGAGGGGCAGAGAGAAAGAGAGAGGGAGAGAGAGAGAATTCCAAGCAGGCCGCGTGCTGTCAGTGTGCCGAGCCCAACACGGGGCTCGAACTAACTCACAAACCTGCGAGATCCTGACCCAAGCCAAAGCCAAGGGTCAGACACCCAACTGACTGAGCCACCCAGGTGCCCCAAAAGCTGACAACTTATAATCAGTTTTTCAAAACACCACTTAGGTCAAACATAAGACCCACAGACCTCTGCACAATAGAAAACATAAAAATAACTTTGTTAAACAGAGGATTGTATTGTAGAGACGTTTCTGCTGGAGAGAGATGTCACTTGAAGATACATCTGAGTCCCTTCACTTCAGTCTGTTTCCTTTTCGCTTGGTTGGTGTTGCTGTCTCTTTTGAGATGATAGAATAAATCAAGAAAACACACTTCTCAGTTAAACTTGTAGCTACTGACCTTTTAGAGGACGAGCCACGAAAGAGGGTGAGGCAGCAACTCACGCCACAGCGAAATGACTCCTTAGAGTCCGACCTCTCAATGAATCAGGCTGTTCATACTTCAGTACTCCAGGAAAACTCTGCCCCAGTACAGATCCCCAGCCCAAGCTGAGTGTGTTAGATGATTTCTGCAAAGCATTGCCCCCCAACTGTTTATATGAAAATTCCAAACACACAGAAAAGGTAAAGCATGTGCAGTTCACGCCCAAAAGACCACCAGCTGGGTTCTACGATGACTGTGTCACTGAATTTGCTTTAGCACAGATCTTTCCATCCGTCCATCCCTCTGCCCATTCATCAGTTGGTCTTTTAGCTCCTGCTCTGGCTTCAGTTCAGGTTCCCACAGGGACCGTGACAAAGAACATCAACCAGGCCTCTTTTAGCAAAACTGACACCCAACACAACTAGTTTTAGCAAAAAACCAAAAAACAAAAAAGGTTGTTGACTTATAGAACTGAAGGGTCCTGGAGTGATGGCTTCTGGCCTGACAGCCTCCAGGACTCTCTCACTGTGTCTCCGTCCGTTCTTCCTGACGGGCTTCATCCTCGGACACACTTGCCCCGCGTGGCAGCACTGGTGGCTCTGGGCTCACCCCCCCCCCCCTCGCTTTAGCATCGCTGCCCAAGGGGCCAACCTGATTCCCAGTGGCCTGGTAAAATGCCCGGTGATGGCCCTCTCTGACCAAACTCGGGTCCCCTGCCCACTCCTAGAGCCCCACGCAACTATACGGGTGGAGGGTTGGAGAGGTGTGGCTCCCCAAATGGAAGTTGGGGTGCTTGTTACCAAAACCGGGGGTGTGGATGCTGAGCACAGAGAACCATAGCTGCTTGGCCGCACTGTCCTCAGAAATGGAGGAAAGGGACCAACCGAGCCGCACAAAGTCGGCACCCGACACAGGAGCCACCAAAGGCTCCCAGGTTCCTCCTCTGTCACCTCCCTCTCTCCTTCAGAGTATCCTTTTCAGATGTTGTTTTTCCTGAGGCCCGTGGCGATTTACCCCAGGGTGAGGAGAGGGAATCAAAGACAAAGGAAGAGACCAGCTCTGTGTCCGGGCTGCAACAGGAGGGCCTCAAGGCCGGGCTGCCCACAGAACAGGGCCCCTCGGGTTGGCAGCCGTTCGGTGGTGTTGCCTGTCCTTCTCTCCCTGGCCTTCCTCTTCCCTCCCTCCCTCCCTCCCGCCTGCCTTCCACAAATTCCTCTGGGTCGTGCTCAGTACAGATCCTGAGAATATACCCATGACTAAAACATAGTGCCCACCTGCTTGGCACTCAGAGTGAGGGCAAGAGGCAGGTGACATGTGTCAGCCTCGGTGAGAACAGGGCAAGTCTCGAACTGAGCTCTGGACTGGGACTGTCTTTCGGGGTCCGCCCCTCAGCTTGGGACCCAGCTGTCCTTGAGGTGAGCAGGCTGTCCCGCACGAGTCCGCATTAATTCAACACAGGGAGCTGCCCGGGAAACCAGCATGCCAGATGACCGACTTACAAAGCAGGCTGCGGCTGGCAAGGCAGCCAGGCAGCTCGTCCCCCCGGCTCTGCTCACCCCGAGCCTGGGCTCACGTGACTGTGCAGAGCGGCTGAGCGTGGGTAGGCCCACCGCCACGCTGGGCGAGTAGCTCCCCCTTCCCTTCCAGGCTGCGAGCTTGGTGAGGGCATGAAACAGAGGCGGATGGTCTCTGGCTTACATCTCTCTCCGGGTCTGTCCCCTTGAGAGCCCCTGTTTTGTCTTACGTGGTGGAAGGGGGCAGACCTAATCTGTCTGCTGATCTAGAAAGGAAGAGCCAGGCACGGCATGTGGCATTGAGGGGATCGCAAGGCCTGCAAGGACTCCCAAAGGGTAGAAAGAAACAGGCGGAGAGGATAGGTCATCCAGACTCCTGGGGAGGCCCACGGGGCCCTGCCTCACTTGCCAGCCTCTGACATCTGCCGCTGCCTCTCACGGGGCCGCTGCCACACTCACAGGCTTCTCGGGCCGCCAAGAGTGCCCCCACCTCAGAGGGAGCTTGCTGCTGTCTCTGTCCCCAGATCCTGACTTGGCCATCTGCTTCCTGTCATGTAGGCCCTTGTTTAAGTAAGTGTCATCTCTTCAGAGAAGCCTTTTCTGACCATCCGCTGTGAGTGGCCCACCCCCTGCCACCCACCAGATCACTCTGATCTCCCGTGTAACGCTTGCCATTTTTCCAAACTGGCCTTAGTCTCTGGATGTTGCTGTAACCAGCGTCTCGGTGAGGAGCACGGACTTGGGGCCAGGCGGCCCGTGTTTGGATCCTGGGTCTTGCCACTTCTCAGCTGTCTGACCTCGGGCAAGTTGCTTACCCTCATTGTCCCTCCACCTGCGCTATGTAACCGTGGTGGTAATGGTACCACCTCACGTGGTTGCCGTGTGGAGCGCTGAGTTCCTAGACGTCAAGGGCTCGGAACAGTGCCTGGGACGCGGCAAGCGCCGCACGAAGGTTTGCTGTCATTACGGCCTCGGTGCCTGCAACATGCCAGGCAACTAATACCTCTTTGTCGGAGGTAGTTACAGCTTCCTGGGCACTGTTGGGGAAGCCCCTGGCCCGGAGGGAGGCAGCCCTGGTGTTGGTGTCCCCCAGCCCAGCCACCCATCCCCTCGAGGCACGGCAGAGTTGCCGCCGACTTCGGCACTTTCTTAGATGCCGCAAGTCTGAGTAGAGGCTGTGGTCGGTCACAGGGGGCACTCTGGTGGCCTGGTGGCAAGGGGAGAAGCAGAGGTCACACCCAGGAGTTCGTGGGGCCTGTGGGTGAGGCCCCCCCCTGAGCCATCATGCTTCCAGCTGCTCTGACAAAGAGCTAGGCTGGGATGTCTGTAACGTCCATCTATCTGTCACCGGTCAGATAAAGTCTTGGTACTTCGGTGGAAAACCAGGCCGTTTCTGACAAAGGCTTGTGGAGCGGGCCTTTCACCGCCCCACCCACAGTGTCAACCAGCAGATGTTACAAGTGGGGAAAATACACCACCTTCTGGAGTTACTTCAGCCCCAGTGTGTATTAGTACGTTAGACACATGCAGTCTTGGCTTGGATGTTTTATATGTGGACTATGTGACAAGCATTGCAGAATCACCCCTTCTTTTTCTCTTCTTTGCAGCTTTGCATTTGGCTCCCTGATTTCTGCTGTGGATCCAGTGGCCACTATTGCTATTTTCAATGCGCTTCATGTGGACCCAGTGCTCAACATGCTGGTGTTTGGAGAGAGTATTCTCAACGACGCCGTCTCCATTGTCCTGACCAAGTGAGTGTCCTTTCTTCAAGGACGGCACTGAAGGTCCTTGTAGCAAAGGGACAGGTATTTCCATGCAGTCCTTGTCGTCTGGGTGATGGGTTCACTCGCTTCTCTGTCTTCTGTCCTGAGAAGCCCTGTCACCCCCGGCAGGACTGTCAAGGTCCCGGCTGATTCGAGGAGGGCCTGCCTTCTAGGACCTACCTGGCAGCAGTGGTTTCAAGTCCACCTTCTTGTCGGCACCCCTGGGGGTGCTTATTAGCCAGAGCCCTCCCAGGCCCCACCCTCACAGCTTCTGATTCATTTGTTTTGGGGTAGGTCCCAAGAACTTAGGCTTTTGGGAGTTTGTTTTGTTTTGTCTTAGAGAGAGAAGGCTCGAGTGAGCAAGGGGGCAGAGAGAGAGAGAGAGAGAGAGAACCCCATGAGGGGCAGAGAGAGGTGGGGAAAGAGAAACCCACCCAAGCTCCTCACTGTGAGCTCGGAGCCCAGAGCGGGGCTCGAGCTCAGGATGAGGGAGCAGCCAGTTGAGGGATGGGTGTTGGGACAGCTTTGGTGCAGACGAAAGCAGTAAACGGAGGCCCTGCTCTCCCACTTAGGAGCTGTCGCAGGTCACCTTCCCGGTTCACAGCCGTAAAATAAGCTAGTGATACTGACAGGCGTGTCCCACCTCGAGATGCTGTTGTGTGAAAGCTACCTGGGAAACTGTAAATTTTTTTCACATGTTCATTGGCATTACTGCCCTTGTTGATAGGACCTGAGAAATTATAGATGAATCATAAAATGTCAAGAAGCCATTGAGAAAGAGAAATGAAACGAACTTAAGACCGTCTCAGATGCATTTATCGGACTCAGGGCTGTTTTTCTTGAACTCTGTCTTTTGTGGCGTTCATTAGCACGTATGGGCAGGAGACCCAAACAGTTTTACCAAAAACAGAGAAGGCACAAAGCGGTTGGAGAAAAGAGCCCTGGACAGTGTTTCCCAGACGAGCTAAGAGAATTTTAGGAGTCCGTCCGTGTTCCGCTCAAGAATAGAATCTCCGTTATCTGAACACTGGCTTGTTTCCTTTGTTAAGGGATTCCTTGCTAAGCACAACCACTCTGTAGTAGTTAGCATTTTCTTGAAAGCTTTATTAGAGGTTACATTTAGAATTTTTACGTTAGAATAAAATGACATTTTTATAGTGGAAGGAACCCAGGGTTTGGAATCAGGCTGACCCGGGTTCAAGCCCCAGTGATGCCACTGATAGCCGTGCGACCCTGAGCCACTCTCTCTGAGCTACATGTGTCTCAGCAGTAAAGCGAGGGTGATAATGCCCCAGCCCAAGGTTAGGTTTGAGGATTGAATAACTACAATCCTGCGTGAAAAGCATTGGACATCAGTGAATGTGAGACCCTTTCCTCTTCTACACCTGTCCCCCAGGCACGGTTTCTTGTCTTTGTCCTAGTTTTGTCCTACTTTTGCAGGAAAAACTTTTTCAAACGTTACTTAATTAATTGCAAGAGGTGCTTAGCAGACCTTAAACAAAACCAAAAAAAAAACCCAAACTTTAAAATATTTTGTTATCCTGAAGGTAATACCTTTATTCTTTATATAAAAGTTAGAAAACACAGAGAGAGAGATTACGTGCGATACTATTACCCAGAGGTAATTACAGTTAACAATTTGGTGGGAGTATACATACATTTTATTGAGATGGGCTTATATCCCGTATACTGTATTGTAACTTTTCCACTGAGCAGAGTTGAAAAATAATGTCACATAACATCATTTTACTTGTTACAGAGTATTCCTTTCTACAGATGTACTACGATCTGTTTAGCAAGTTCCCCCATTATTGGCTTTTTCACATTTCTCTTGGCAAAAATTTCTATGGCTTTATTAGGAAATTCTCAGACATCATGCTGTAGATAAGACCTTTAAAAAATCTGATGGCAATATTTTTTTCTTGTTTAGGATCTACTCTCAAAGCCTTTTAGCTTTTGGGTTTTAACTTTGGTTCCGTGTCTTGACTACACATACAGAACATTCGTGATAAAGTATTTTGTCCAAATTGGAGGTGACATCATGAGTTATTTTTACACATTGGGAGCTCAACTCAGCTGCTTTATGTCTAATTTATTTTGCTTTTAAAAATCTGTCAGAAGGAGGATCTCTTCTGAGCTTTTCCAAGAGGAAAGAAAAGGTTAAAGGTTTTCTGTTAAAGACTTTGACAGAAGGGTAAAGATGAGAAGATACTTTCTTTTGAAAATGAGAGATGATGGAGTCGCTGTAACTAGCCAAAGTTTCTTCCTGGAAAAGTGCTTTTTTGAAGGCCAAGATCGCCTGTGATGGCAGTTCCCAAAACTGGCTCCGTGCGCCACAAGCGTGTGTAGCTTCCAGCCCCCGCCCCCCCTCACCACTGCTGGTATCCGGCCCGGGGTGGAACACGCTCAAGGCCGGCCGTCCACCCCCAGCGTGTGGCGAGGGCCCTCCATGTGCCAGACGTCACTCAGAGACCCGCTGGACTAGACGGAGCTCAATCCAAGGTGGGGGAAAGCTGCTCACGGAAAAGTGAGCCCAGTGCCTTGAGTACGAGAGACAGACAGCCATGCTGAGGGGTTCGAGTGAGGCTTCTCAGCCAAGTTGTCCGTGAGCCGGTCGGCATATTCAGGTTGAAGAGGAGAGAGAGGGGAGGGTCGGGGAGCAGTACAGGAGAGGACCGCTTCAGCTTTCCTTGGTTATAGGGTGGAATCACGTCTTGTTTCAGAGTGGGCTTCACAGATGATTGCTTTCAAAGTGACCTGACACGTGTGTCTTTGCAGCTGAATATCTGAATGAATTACCCCTTTTTTTGAGGTTTTCACTTTCAAAAGTTCCAGAAAGCTATCTTCTGCTTCTTCGGGGGTTTTTTAAATTTTTTCTTTTTAATATTTATTTATTTTTGAGAGAAAGACAGAGTGCGAGCAGGGGAGGGGCAGAGAGAGAGGGAGACACAGAATGCGAAGCAGGCTGCAGGCTCTGAGCTGTCAGCACAGAACCCAACACCGGGCTTGAACCCACGAACCACGAGACCATGACCTGAGCCAAAAACGGACACTTAACCGACTGAGCCACCCAGGCGCCCCTTCGTTAATTTTAATTAAATTATTTTTAGCTTTGATTTGTTAGTATGACGATTTATTCTTACAATAATTGCTGTGGAGGAAACCTTCTTGCGCTCTCCGGCCGCAGCGTAAGCTCACAGAATGGATCCTGAAGCAGCCTTGTCTCGTATTCTTCAAAGTGTGAGAAAAGGACCTGAAAAACAAAAATGTAGAAATTTACCAGGTCAGAAAGAGTCCAAATTCTAATTTCATTTATGTTGAGAAATTGTTGGCCTCTGTCCTGGGTCTCCTGTCAACCCTTGGTGTGACCTCACCAGTGAGTCACTTCCGTGGGGCCTCCGCATGAACGGAAAGCAAGGCTCCAACCAGCGTACCAGCCGTGGCCACGATATGGGGGTCGGGGCCGGGCACTGTGTGCAGGTGGCCTGCAGATCCGTTTGGGAACTGTGGGTGAGCACTTGCCCGGTGAGAACCCCTGCTGGCTCTCAGCACTCCCCAAGGTGGGGCGTTGACCTGTGGTCTGCTGGGAAAGAAAGGGGTGGGGGAGTTGTGCATTCAGGTCCCTTTGGAAACTTGTGCGAGAAAAGTTAGATTGCTTTTTTGCAGGAGTTTTCAGAACCTTTGTTATGTTACACTGTGCTGCGAATCACTACTGAAAACTTCCTGAGGTTATTTGACCAAGCTACCCTTTTATCAGAGATTATCCCACTTTAAAATGATAGCAATTCATGAAACACTGATTCATGAAACTGAGTATTTCTATTGACAAGTCTTTGTTTTGTTTACGGATTCAGCAGAAATCTACTGAGTGTCTTTGTATACTAGGCTCTGCCTTAGGCCCTGGATATGTGGCAGTGAACGAGATGGATGCAGGCATGGGCTTCATGAATGACTCATGACTTTGGCACTTGCTGTGAAGAAGTAAGGGACCAGGAGAGCCTGTAATATGTGAAGGGGTCAGGGCGGCTGGCCCTGAGGGAGTGACATTGGCCCTCGGTTCTGAGGAACAAACTGGGGAGTTAGCTGGGGGCAGGGAACAGTGAAAGATGACCTACAGAGAGGTGCCCATGACAGTGGGGTCCTTTCTGAATGAGGAGATGGGGTCATGAGGGCAGAGGAGTCACCTCATGCATAGACAGACTGGCCTTCCTCCTGAAAAGCAGCAGGAAACTGTTGCTGGGTTTGAACCGGCCAGTAACCCGATCAGATTGTGTATTTTAAAGGGATCATCCAGGCCAGTGAGTGGAGAATGGGTCGGTCCCTTAGGAAGACAAGGATGTTTGGACAGAGTGATGGAGCACAAGGCCCGGAACAGAGGATGGTAAGGGACGGAAGGAGAGAAGTGGATGGGCTTGAGAGTAGTCTAAGGGTAGAATCCGTTAGGAGGAGGGTCTTTAATGACAGAATAACTTCGTTGTAATGGTATAATGGTTTTCCCTTTGGGGAGAAAACCGTTCATTGAATTTAATGGCTTCTGACATTTTACTTTGTTCTGTTAGCCTAAAAGGAAAGTTCTTTTAATTCTCCCTAATGCCTCCTAAATCCACTCTCTCAGCCTGTACCCAGTGACACTTCTTTTTTTTTTTTTTTT